CGTCATTTATGTTTATAATGCCTACATCATCATTCACACAAGAATCCTTCCTCGGAAGAGGATTATCATAAAAAAACAACATGTATAGAATCTTCTACAACTAAAGTTCTTTTATTAAATACTCGATAAGCTTTAGAATTTAAGGAATAACCCAGAAAAATTCCTTCATCACTTTTAGCATCAAATTTACCAAGATTGTCTTTACCATTGTTTAAAACAAAACATTTACATCCAAAAGGATGAAAATAGCTAATGTTAGGCTTTTTATTTTTAAAAAAGTTCATATGGAGTTTTCTTCAAAATAGGCCTAATCATTACTCGATTAATAACATAACAAGCGGTATTTGTGGCTTCCACCCAAAAATATTTTGGTAAATTGTTTTCACAAAGCATGGTTCTAGCCATTTCTTCTAAGGTTTGATTTTTCCTCTCAACAACTCCATTTTGTTGAGGGGTTCTAGGTGCTGAAAAATTATGGCTAATACCATTATAATTACAAAATTCAGTAAATCCAATATTTTCAAATTCAGTTCCATGATCACTCCTAATACTAGTTATAGAGTAACCTTTTTCATTTTGGATTACTTTTGAAAACGTGATGAATTTTTCTAATGCTTCATCTTTAGTACTTAAGAATAGAACTCAAGTATATCTAGATTAGTCATCTACCAAGACCAATGCATATTGTTTTCCACCCAAACTAGTAGTTCTAGATGGCCCAAAAAGATCTAAATGGATCAATTGTAATACTCTACTAGTTGATACATCATTAATGGATTTAAAAGAAATTCGCTTTTGTTTTCCATTAGTACAAGCATCACATATTTTATCATTATCAAATTTTAGTTTACGCAACCCTCGAACTAAATCTCCTTGAATTAACTGTTACAAAACACTCATACTAGCATGTCCTAGTCTCCTATGCCATAACCAACTATCATGCTCATCCTTAGCAACTAGGCATAAATTAGTCAAATCTATAGAATCTAAATGCACCATGTAAATGTTTCCTATCCTATGACCAACAAACATAATCCGATTAGATGCAATGTCAATGACTTTACAACCATTAATATCAAACATGACATTGAATCCCTTATCGTACAATTGACTAATACTCAATAGATTATGATTTAATCCATTCACATATAAAACATTATTAATTTGTATGGAAGAGGTATTACCTATAGTGCATATACATTCAATGTGACCTTTTGAGTTATCACCAAAAGTCACCTCTCCTCCATTTTCTGCGTTGAGCTCTATGAACCAGCTTTTTTCTCCGGCCATGTGTCTTGAGCATCCACTATCAAGGTACCATGAGTTTGAATTTGTTTCTCGTGCCTTCTAGCAATGCTCCTTTTCCTACAAACATAGATTAATTTTTTATTTTTGGGACTCAAATTCTTTTGGGTCCATATTCATTAGTCTCCAAAATTCTAGTCCCCTTAGGTATCCATTTGTGTAGGATATCCTTATCTTTATTAGTAATGAGTTCTTTAGGAACCCATATACTTCTAACGATGTTTCCATTAGAGGTTCTTCGGGGACCTCTATGATTGTAGTTTTTAAAACGTTTTCTAACAAAGTTGGATTTTGAATTTTCTCCTTTTTCAAAACGTTTTGTTCCAACTTTATCAAAAAGAAGCTTTAAGATCATCAATTTTCTTTTGATGATCATCATTGACCTTTGAAAGTAAATTATGCAAATCAAAATTTTTCTTTTCAAACTCTTCTAGTTTGATTTGCAAATTATTTATTTTACTTTCAAGATCATTGTTGGTCTTGGATATTAGATTATTTTTATTTTTCAATTTCGAAATATCATTTTTATACTTTAAAAATAATTTCTCATAATCCGAAGCCAACCCATTATATTCCTGAGAATCTTCTTCGAATGTCATCAAGCACAAGTTTGCTACTTCTTGTTCCCCTTCATCAGAACCTTCTTCATCACTTCATGTAGCTACGTGAGCCTTGTGCTTATTCTTTGATTGACCCTTTCTCTTCAATTGTATGGGTAATCATATTTGACATGGCCCGATTTTTTGCATTCATAGCAAATGATCGGGTCCTTCTCTTTTGGTTCATTCTTGAAGCCTTCATTTCGTTTGAATTTTCTTCCTCGGTTTGGCCTCATTAATTTTCTGAACCATTTGGAAAACAATGCCATTTCCTCATCATCGTCATCTTCATCCGAATCACTCTCATCCTTTGTTGATTTGAGAGCAACTCCCACGTTCTTCTTCTTCTTCGTCTTCTTCTTTGGCTCATCTCTTTTCTCGAGGTCTACCTCTTCTTTAAGCATCATTTCATGCGTGAGGAGAGATCCAATAAGCTCATCAAGAGTCAAGGATTTTAAGTTATTAGCCTCGATGATCGCTGTCTTCTTTGATTTCCAAGCTTTTGGAAGAGAGTAAACTAATTTCCTTACAAGCTTGTCATTTAGAATGATTTCTCCATATGATTTGAGACTATTGACAATTGTGGAGAATATATCCGTCATATCTTTGACATCTTCATCCGGTTTCATCCGCAAATTTTCATAGCTATGAGTTAGAAGACTAATTTTAGATTCTTTTACCTCGTTTATGCCTTAATGAGTGACTTGTAGTTTGTCCCATATCTCCTTGGTAGTTATACAAGATGAAACTCTTTTGTATTCATCCGGTCCAAGAGCACAAAAGATAATATGGATGGCTTTGGAGTTGAGCTGGAACATTCTTGTCTCTCTTCACTCCACAATCTTGGATGGGTGGAAGGTTTGATGTATCCATCTTCTATAATATTCCATGCTCCCATGTCACTTGCTTGAATGAAATACATCATCCTATTCTTCCAATAAGCATAATTAGCTCCATTGAAGAAATGAGGCTTGTTGACGGGCATTGAATCGAGAATGAAGTCGGAGTTTGAAGCGTCGACCATTGATGACTTGAATATTTATGTAAGTCTTCCCGAATCGACTCAAGAGGTGATTAAACTTCAAATGAGTGAGGCTATGGTACCAATTTTTCAGTTAATCGATTGATGAAATAGGCCAAAAGGGGGGTAAATTGACAATTAAAATTTTGGTGGAAGCTTTTGCAGAAAATTGAAGGTAATTTCACAGCGATTTAGAGTGGTTCGACTTTCTCAACCAAAGTCTACGTCCACTACCTTAGCTATCCACACTAAGGATTTTCCAAAAAATTCACTAATTAGTTCTTTCTTTTGAGGCCAAAGAGATAACCTTACAACTCCCTCAAGAATATACCACTATTCTTGAGAACACTCTTTCTCAAAGAGAAGATTACAAATTTGCAAACTTAATGAATAAACCTCATGAGGAAAATCTGTTTGCACAATTATAGAACAAAGAAGGAACACTCAAGAATGAATACAATTGAGTACAAGTAGTGTTATTGAAAGAAAAATGAATATTGAATGAAAAATAGACTTAAAATGCTCAAACAATGAATTTGATGCTTTCTCTTTGATTCTCTCTTGATTCTTGTTGATTGTTGTTTCTTGTTATTGATCAATGGCTCCAAAGCTTGTTTAAATACTCCTTCAATTGATTCTGAATGATTAGTGGAGTCAATAGAGTCGTTTAAGTGTGAAAACAATTAATAAAATCAGTTGGGAGTGTGTGTGCATCGATTCATAGTCAAGGTGCATCGATGCATCAAGTGTAAATTTCAAATATTTCGACCCTTGGAACACTTAGTGCATCGGTGCACTAAGGGTGCATCGATGCATAAAATGCATTTGATGTTTCAAACAAGCATGAGTGTATCGATGCATGGTCTGTGCCTCGATGCATAAAATGCATTCGATGTTTTCATAAAACCCTGAGTGCATCGATGCATGGAAGTGCATCGATGCATGGAAATGTATTCGAAATGTGAGTGTATCGATGCATCTATGAGTGCATCGATGCATCCCTTCAAAATTTTGATTTTTGGCTCGTTTTTGGTTCGAAATACTTTGTGAAAATTGTTTCAAAAATATTTTAAGTATAAAACACAACTTTACACTTTAGTAAGGATTGAAATTGAACTTTGAAAGACTTGGAGTAATATTTTGATATTTGAATAATAATATCGAATATACTTAGAAAATATTTTGTAAAATCTTAAAATTCATTTAACTTAATTTGTTATATCGAAACATCAAAATGTTTTCAACACAAAGGTCTCTTCAGATTCTAGTAGCAAATTATGGTATCGGTACTAAGGGTGGGTACCGATACTAGTGGGTTGATATCGATACTGAATGGGTTAATACCAATGCCATCATTTTGAATTGGTCATATAACCTAATTTTGGTTAAGAACTTGAGAAGGGAGTTAGAACCATCATAATTACTCTAAATAAACTTGAAAGAAAAAATTTATAATTTTGTGTGATAATCATGATAACGTCAAAAAAGAAACATACATAAGACTTATTCCCTTGCTTGATACTCGAGAAATGATGAGGACCTCGAGTTACTCGAATGTATAACAATCATCTAATAAATACATTGTTAGACATCCAAATATATTCTCAATAGTGCTAAGGCACTTTAGTATCAACACTATTGCACTTTCGTATCAATGTTGAGGCACTTTTGTACAAGTGCTAAGACACTTTAGTTATTCGATGGCAATGTCACTATACTTGATGTTTCCAATGTGTACAATGCTTCGTTATGATATATGCTTGGTGTATTTCATTGTCTGATGACTATACTTGTTAGCATACACATTTAATAGATGCATGTAGCATAGTAAAGTTACTTGTGTGACACTGAGCTCGTAACATGATTGAGGAGGCAAGGACAAATATAAATCTTCTCAAATTCAAATAATTTCTTTTATCTTATAACCAAAAAAAATGAAGTATTGTTTTGGGGGGGGACTTTATACCAATAAAATAAGAATACATACGACTAATATTGCAACAAAGGAATTTACATTGAATTGATAGTAAATAGTAAATGGAAAAAAAGTTTATATTACATGGTTCCAAAAATACTTAAGCTATGGGAAAGTGCATCAAATAAATAAATATGGACAGTAATATTAGAATTGCTTGCACAGTAAAACTTGATGCTGAACTAACAATATGGGGACCAACCATGTACTCTGTCCCTGCCTTTTCATCCTTCACCTTCACGAATGAAGAGCCTGTGATTAACCATTATAATTAGCAACTTAAAAACAATGTTAACATAATGTAGACAAAAAAGTCAGCAAACAGGATACTCACAATTGTATTCCGTCCATCCAATAGTCTGGTTTTCGATATCATATATAACCAACTTATTTGAAAGCACAAAATCTGCATTTGAAAAAAAAAAATCACAAAATTTTTTTTCTCTGAGTTGTAAATATACAGCGTTAGATTTTGGTCTAAATTATAATTGATAATTAAATTAGATTTTGTTGTAATTCTATTGGTTAAATATTATTTGGTGATTAAGTTCATTTAGTTCTTAGAATTATGAGATGTAATTATTCTAGAAAGATTAATCCTTTTGTGATTTCTTAATTTTTAGGGTTTATGTTGCATAGATAAGTTTTATAATGATATTAAAAGAGTGATTTGGGATACTCCAGATTTTAGTATAGATATCATATTTTAAGATACATGTGATATTATATATATGTATATCATCCGTGATATCCTAATTTATAGTGAATTATTATTCTTATCATATCTAGAGATAAATAAAGTTAAACCAAGTTAAATATTATCTCTGGCGCATGTCTTATTTTATGTTAATTTTGCTTTGATTATTTTTCGGTTTATAAATTCCTAACATATATTGTATAGACAAACATACCTCCCAAAATAATTATATCTTCTTCATCCTCTTTGGATCCATTATCCTGCCAGCCGATACACCGCATATCATCCTAACAAAACGAAAATTATATCTTAATGCAAACCCTACAAAAGAAATAAATTATCTACTTTTAATAGGGTTATCATAAATTTACTTACACGATATTTGAATAGATAATCATGTGGATAAACGGTTAAGACGAAAGAACCTTTAAAATGGAACTTTATGACCGGAAATTCATCGTCAACACTGCAACAACATAAAAAAAATCATATAAGATGGTAGTAAAACTATTAAAAGCATTATTATTTTTATTAAAAAAATTAAGAGTATTAATGGGAATGTCTTACTTTTTCTCATACTTGAAGCAAGAAAATTGGTTGCTTACTTTTTCCATTTCCAATGACTTTCCGGAGGTAATCTAGTTGACGGAGAAAACAATGTGATTACTAATAGATAGTCTAAAAGTTAAAGTAAACCGAATCAATTGAGTGGTCTCAGTGGTTAAAGAAAGAGTTATTCTTTCTAGAAATTTTAAATTCAAACAGTTGTCTTTATAGGGTGAGTTTGCGTTGTCAACCTCGTACTATTTAAAAAAATTAAAGTAAATTTATGAGCAATACTTGCCTTTTCGACTACTTGTGTATGAATTTTAGTGGGAAGATATGATAAGGTTGTGCCACTATCAATTATTGCTGCATTTTCATCAGCACTTCCGAAAAAACTTGTTTCAAGTTCTATTATGGTGTCTCCAATTTCTACTGCCTTCGTTGTAATTTTGTAATGCGACCTAAGAATTTTTTCATAAAAGTATACTTCAGTTTTTAAAAAAAATAACAATTAAAAAATATCATATAAGTATAACTGTTAATTCTTTAACGACATGTGATTAGAATAAAATAAAAATATAACAGGACTTACTGTTTACGAATCATACGAGTTTTATTTATATGTGGTGCAATGACTTCACCAATTGCAAAGATTCCACCTCCATCCACATTATCCAAACAATGTGCAAATTTGTTTTTCACTTTTCCATCTGCAGCTAACTGTGAAATCACAGATGAATTTGCTTGTCCGAATCCAATGATTCCATTAACTGCTTCACTTGATGTACTTAAGTCCCCGGATCGCTTGGAACCGCACCTATTATGGTATATATTAACTCGAAAATGATTCTGAACAGTTATTAACTTATAATCATTTTAAATTATTAAAAAAAACCAACCCGAAAACGATAGTCCCATTTGTAGGGGCAGTTTGAAGGTTCCCAGTGACTTGTTGAAGCTGAATGGTGTCCCTGACGAAGTATCCACCATTTCCGGTGCCATCACCATAAACAATGTAGTATTCACACTGTCTATCATTCTTACAATTTTCCAGTTTCCCATCATGTGCCGCTGAGCAGAATTCATCTCCACAATAAACCAATTTTGAACTTGATGACTTTTTTGGATCATATAGTTTTTGTTCTATCTGCATTCCCAATTGTTAATTTCTCAACCAAAAATGTTTGTCAAAAAAATATTAGAGTAAACTACACGTTTAGTATCTAAACTAATTGTTTTAGTACCTAAATTTTATTTTTTTTAAATACCTAACGTTTCATTTAGGTTTCAATTTGATACTCCGTTTTTAAACAAATCGAACTACTGAGGTGACAATCTTAATTTTTTAATGATAATGTGGTATTACCTTATAGTGCACATCAACATCACTGTTAAGTGTTTAATGGTAGGGTATCAAATGAAACTCAAACTAAACGTTAGGTATAATTTTGAAGAAAAAAATTAGGTACCGAAATGGAATAAAAGTAATAGTTTATGTACTAAATGTGTAGTTTACCCAATAGACTAATACTTGAAAGGAACGTACACCAAGGCTACTCTCTTTGGGGCACTTGTCACAGCCAACACAATTCAACCATAGAATGTCACTTCCAGTGTCAACTTGCACATGATATTCTTCTGCCGGATTTCCTATCACCAATTTTGCAAAATAAAGCCTGCAAAATATTTTAAATTTTAGTTACCACCACCCCCATTAATTCAAGAAAAAAAAACAATGTTCTTCATAAAATCCATTTAGTAAAGAATCCCTTGAAATATAACATATATAAAACACAAGTACAATGAAAATCAAGGATTTAAATAGTGGTTTAGTTATATGATAGTATCGGTATCGTTCGAAAATGTTATTGCATGTAGGGATGGAGTCAAGATTAAATTATGACCGGCCAAGTTGTCTAACTTGAAATAAATAGGATCTTTAAAATGAAATAAACCATAAAATTCAAGGGTAAAGTACACCCCGACTATAGGACACTGTTTTATTGAGTTCTCTAGCCATTAAAAATTATAGGACGTTGCTTTGTTGAGTCTCTCGACTATTAAAAGTTACAAAATGGTCACCCGACTATTCATTATATATGTTTCGAGCTCATCCTTTTTCATTAAAAAATTGACGACAGTCTGAGCTGAATGTTAATCTGCTATCTATGATATGATAGTCATTTGAGATTATCAGATAATATTTTATCATACCTCAGACAACATATTTACATTCAACCCACACCACCGTCAATTTTTTAAAAGAAAATGATGAATTTGGAACATAATAAATAGTCAGGTAACCATTTTATAACTTTCAATACTTTGAAGACTCAACAAAGCAACATCCTATAGTCGATAGACCATTTTGTAACTTTTGATAGTCGGGAGATTCAACAAAGCAACATCCTATAGTTAGAGGACTATTTGTGCACTTTACCCAAAATTTAAATGAGTTGTGATTTAATTTCACTAGTTTTAAAATTGAAGAGTCTAGATGAGCAATTAAACCAGAAAAATTAGAAGTCAAGACGAAATTTCATTTTAAAACTGAAAGAGTCAAAAAAATAAATTAAACCAGTAAATATAAAGAGGGGTAAAGACTTAATTGTAATTATTTTAAAAATATTAATGACCCGAAAACAATAAGCCATCAAAATTTAGGAGGGACAATTGCCTCTCCCACCTACCATGTAGGTTTGTTCTGATTGCATGATCGCGATAAACATCATAGCATCCAAGATGGAGCTAGGATCAAATATGGAAGGGACATGATATTTAATTTCAAAATAATAAAGACTTATTATGTATTTAATCTAAAATTTTGAGGACAAAAGTTCAATTTTACTTAAATTTAAACATATAAGGACCTAAATGCTATAAACTAAAATTTTGGGAGGGGCTCCTAATACCCTCTATGTTTGCAATCCTGCTGAACACAACACAACAAGAATACAACTGCGACCGTGATATAAATCTCTAATGTATATAATTGAAAAAAAGAAAACAAACAAACCCAGCTCCACTGGGGTGACCGTCACCACCTAGAGGGATATCAATGTCAACAGTAGAGAAAAATCTAGCAAGGCGACGCATGTCATGAGCTTTCATAGAACTTAAGTTCCTTTGTTGACCTGCAAATTTATGTTTCACATTCAAAGTGATAATGTTTCCAAAGTCACAACTAAATTCATTCATCAGTATCATAATGGTCAATGTCAGTCTTCGTAGATACATTTTCCCAAACAATAAACAACAATTTCTCCTCCCTGACTCTCAAGCTTTCAATTCTTTTTCTCCCCTTTTTGATTTTATTTGAAAAAAAAATTAAAGAGGAGACGGAGAGGAGGGATGTGACGCAAACGTCAAAAAGCCATTTAGATGGAAAAAAACAAAGCAAAACGCGTTTTCAACGACGAATTGCATGCCCTATTTGTGAATATTGTATATAAATTATGTTCTTTTAACTAAATAAAACAACGTTGGCGGTTTTTCTTGTTTTGTCATCGATGCTAAATTGAATCATTTGATTAAATTGAGGTTGTAATCTAGTTAGTTAGACTTCTACTAATCTATTTAAGGATAGAGTACACAAATGGTCCCCTAACTATAGGACATTACTTTATTGAGTACATCGACTATTAAAAGTTATAAAATGGTCATCGACTATAGCTAGCATGTTGTTTTGTTGAGCCCCTCAACTATTAAAAGTTACAACATGGTCACCTGAATATTTATTATTCCTTTTCCATTAAAAAAAATGACAGACTGAGCTGGATGTTAGTTTGCTGTCTTACATATGATAGTCGTTTGAGATTCTGAGATCAGATTTTATCATATGTCAGATAGCAGATTAACATTCAGTTCAGACTCCCGTCAATTTTTTTAACAAAAAGGGAAAATTTTGGAACATGATGAATAGTTATGCAATCATTTTGTAACTTTTAATAATCAGTGAACTCAACAAAGAAACATCTTAAAGTCAAGGGATCATTTTGTAACTTTTAATAGTCAGGGGACTCAACAAAACAACACCAGAGATCATTTATATACTTTACACTTTATTTAATAAACGTGTAAATTAAAACAATATTAATTAGTCTCGGGATAATAATATCAATGCACTTGTACTTTGACAAATCTTTTAATACAATACTTCTATTTTTTTTAAAAAATTAACGTGTTCTATTTGCTCCTTAGACTAATTGTTAATGTTTAATATCGACATGATAAGTGAATCAATCATATAGTCACGTGACATTTTCAGAAAAAAGTCAACATCAAGGTACTTTAAAATAATTAAACCATTTTTAATGAATAAAAATAATTTATCCAAAACAATATTTTAAGGCCTAAAATCCTTTTTTATTTATGTAATTCTTATAGTCTTTAAACCTATATAACTTAAATTAAAGGTAAGACTTGAATAAAATATGTGTCTGACCTTTATATACCTCCAAAGATCTACAATTATCTCTATGCTCAAGGTCTAGAAATTTTTGAAACACAAGTTTAGACACTTTTCATATCATTTTGATGTGATTCACAAAGCATTAAACCAAAGTTAGAAGTATTAATGCAAACGGTTTCGAATGATAGTTTGGTGAAGTAAAGTAACTAATTTTATGGCTACTATGATACAACAGATGATGAATGGATGAAAATGCGAAAAAACCAAGAGACGTGCAGCGATAAGAATTAACTACAATCGAATGCGACAACGACGGTGAACATAATGATTCCAATCTAGTTTTTCAATCAATAAAGTTGTCGTAATTATAACTCAACTAAGCACTAACATCTCACTACCTCATCAGGAATAATGACGCTACTCTGAGGTACTATATCCCTGTAGGCATTAGAATGATAAAGAACAAGTTCTACATTGTGCAAGACAAATATGCAGGCTTCCAACGGGCATTTATAGCTCCCCTCCGGGATGCAAAATGTATAATATATATAAAGTAGTATTTGTTCTAAATACTTTCAACCATTTGACAATAAACGCTTAATCACCCCTACTGCAATTGCATTAACAATTGTATTAGCTGCATAAATTAAATAATAGATTTAAGGTTAACTACTCCAACTATTAAATGCATTCATTCTATATATAATATTCTTTTCTGGAAAGAAAACATTAGAAATTATGGATTAAAATACGAATAATAAGATATCTTAAAGATTTTTCTAACTTAAATCTTTAATTTAATAAAATAATAATTAAAATCTGAAACTACTAACCTAACAGTAAAATCGATGTAGTTTTAGATGTTAGAAAATGCTCCCTATAAAAAAACACTTTTCACGTGTTATGTCATCTCAACAAAAAACCGCTTCTTAAAAAAAGAACATTTTTACTACGTATGTACGCTACAAGCCTTTCGTGAAAAAATGCTTTGACAACATGGATATTATTTCGAGAATTAATCTGAAATGTGTATTACAACGATAAAAAAAATATTATTCGTTCGTATGACATTTGAGTAAAAAAATCCCATAAGCGATGACATAGTACTCTACATATTTTTTAATGAGTTTTTTTTATAAAAAAAAAACTCGATTGATAGTTTAAAAATATAATTAAAATATTTTAAATTTTAAACATCAATTTAAAATGAAATTGTAATAAAAATATTGATACGACGATCTTAGTTTTTTCCATTCAATACCCACCACTGGTTAGCAATGTGGTGTTTATAAAGTGCCCGGTGAAGTTATATTTGCAGAAAGAAACATATACATTAATTATATAATCTCTTCAACAAGTTGAGTAATGAAAACAAATACCATATTTATTGGAAGCAAGAAAAGAATATGTATGAATGTATAAACTAGAAATTGGCATCGGCACGCTGAATTTTTATTTTGGATTTATTTGCAGGATCTTGAAAGATACGAAGATACAATCTATCAATTCCAGATATTTGATACCTAAAAATATTTAGTTTGAAGAAGCATCGACCACTTTCGAAGTGTTCAAGTGATTCTTCACCATCTGCTCAACCCCTAACCATTTTCGAACAAGTTTAAACACGGTTTGAAGTCCGTGATGAGCCGATGACTGCTAGCTGCTCCCACTCTCTCAACTGCTGCAAATCCATCTGCCTGAGTGAATGAAATGTTGTTGGTTAATGCAGGAGAAAATCATGTTCATTCACTATAATATAACACTGGTTCCTGAAGCCGTGTCGGAAACCACTTGAAATGCACAAATCAAACGACCGATATGGGCAACGGAAGAAGTTAACAAAGAAGCCATATGGAGTTGTGACGAATCCAAAGCATTGGGGCCCGACGGCTTTAATATTCTGTTTTTTTAAAAAAATGCTGGGAATTGATTAGAGTGGATTTAATGAAGGTCATGGACAATTTCTTCAGATTCAATAGACTAGGAAAAAATCTTGTCGCAACGGGCCCCTCGGTGAAAAGGCCGACGAGTTGCAACGATGGAGTTTTTCTTTTATAAAAATACTAAAATGTAGGGAGTTATCACCAATCATTTTAAGGTGAGATTGAAACATAATAAAAACCGAATAATTTAATAAAACATTTTTTTATCAAAATACCCAAGTTTGGGGTCTACGAAAACCAGAAAATAAGTTCGAGAGCCGGTTACACATGGGGAAGGACACCTCCACAACGTCAAAAAATTGGTACCTAGTCGATTACCCTATATTTAAAATCGAAAAATTTGAATTCGAGATCTTATTTAATTCAAAAATCATTAGGGATGCCAAATTGAAAAGAGTGTTCGTTTATTAAAGTTAATAATATTCACCCCTAGCACGAATGTGTGAGATCAATTATTACGCCCAATAACTGGACATTGCCTCGAGATTTAAAAAATAAAGGTTTTTAAAAATGATGTTCATCTACTTCGGGAATTACCACGATCACCCCCTGAGCATAATACAGAGGATACACCGTTAACTTATTGGTAAATCAACATTGCCTTGTTATTTTAAATCCAAATGCAAGCAAAGAACTTTTTATTATACCTAAGTATGCTAGGTGAGTTAATTAAGGCTTCCCCTAACCTACAATGTCAATTTATGTGATTTAAAGAACCTAAAGGACAAAACCTAGAAATGGAGACTCTAATATTAATTCTATTTTATTTTAACCAGTTATTGGATCAAATAATCGAGATAGTCCCTTGAGCATTTAGGCGAGAGCCAACTCAGACTACTCCCTAAATTAAAGGACTAGATTGAAATCTAAACTAAAGTAGAGACTCTAATATTAACCTAGTTAATTATGTCAATTGGAAAACCTAATTAAAAATTTAGGGACTAAATGCGAAAAGTCTAAAGCTAAGGGACTAAATCTAAAGTAAGGTTATAATGATTAATCGGAAAATCAATCTGAATCCTAGGCATGAAGGCAAGGATAAAATTAAAAGTTCCCCTATTTTTAAAGGACTAAAGTGTGAAGAAGCTAAGTTGAAGGACTAAATTAAATTAAAAAGTGTAAGAAATTTAAAAAGGAATACATTTAAAGATTTAAAAATTAAAGGGGCAAAAAATAAAATAAGAATTAACGAATCCAATAAAAATAAATACAAAGTTGGGAATCTTGATTCAAACACCCTGAAAAGATGAAAAAATGAAGTTAGAATAATAAATTACAGCATGGACTAAATTGTAATAAAAACAAAATACATATACCAACTCCAAATAAAACAGAGGAGTAAGAAAGGGGCCAAATTGAAATAAAAACAAACAAATAAACATAAATTAATAAGCAAGGACCAGGGGACTAAAATGTGAAAATGTGCTACAATTCAGGGGACTATAACATAATTTTCCATTTTTAACCTATAGCATTAATAACATTAACAAAAGGGAAGATAACTTAAATAGGACATGTAAGTTCGAAATAAAAACATAGGGGCCAATATGTAAAATATGTGAAACGTTGGATGGCCTGAAAGAAAATAAACCAAATATTGATACTAAAAAATAAAAAGGGAAAATAACGAAATAAGGACAAATATAATAAACAAATAAAATAAGTGGTTGATATGCAAACCGAAGAAATGTAGGATGATCACGGAAAAGATTAGACTATCGGTCCAAAATGCACAAATATGGCTCCAGGGGACACGACCAAGCTTTCCACCGTTCGGATTCACCAACGAAGGCTCCCAAAGTTGGCGAGGCTTCGACCGAGAGGTAAAACTGCCCTCTTTCTCT